ATATATATATATATATATATATATATATATAATTTTGTAGAAGTAAGGTTGCAATGTTCTACACTGTCTATTTTAGTTGGATGATGTAGATTCGATACGTTTTTTAAGATCTATAAACACTTTAGAATCTTAAAAATTGACCGTCTAGTTAATGCATTACAAGATGTATATTTATAAGACTTGAAATTCATTCTGCTTTATGTCTATATATCTCAAGGTTAAGATGATTAGATTTGAGGCTTTAAGGTTGAGACCTTGTTCAAGCCATATCCTAATTTGATTTTATTTTAATGTTTGTCTTCGACCCTCCAATCAGATTGCCTCGTTTTGGATCTTGTGAAAAAATGAGATCGATCGATTTTTTTTAGAAAAACACTCTATTTTTCTTTTAAAAAAATTGAGGGCTTATATGACCACGTTTCTTGCAATTGTCTGCTGCCATTGTATGTCAAACATGTTCCAATCACACAATTACATTAAGGTGCACACGTCGCAAACTTTTTATAATAGTGAATTCACCTTTAAAGCTTCAATACGGGATAATTCACACCTTTTGTCGTGCACAATCACTTCTTAAACCCTTTTATAAAGCTATCTCCCTCATATGTACAATGATGTATAAATTAAAGGGAAAGGTTTCTATGCTTCTCCTACAACATTGAAGTTCTATCCTCCCACTACCATCTAGACGTCCAATTTTGATCAAGAGAGCCACTCACCGTTTGATCTTAGATCCGACATTTCAAAGTATTTTATTTTTAGTTTTTTTATACAAATTATATGAATATTTTTAGTTTATTTATACAAATTGGTCATTTTATTTTATTGAAAATATTTTTTTTGATATTTTTCTCTAGTGCGAGTTTAATAGAGGAATGGATGTCCAAAACTTGGTGTCAAAATAGTTTATATAAAAAAATTAAAAATAAAATAGTGTAGAGACGTGACATTATGATTGGGTCAATCTTAGTCCTCCATTCAGAATTGACAGTTGGATAAGGAGGGGGATAGAACTTCTATGCTATAGGGGAAGCATAGAAAGCTTGCTTGTTAAATGCTCTATAAATAGATATCTCTCTTATAAAAGGACATCTATCAAATGAAATGGTCTATAGTTTTTTTTAAGATTAATTATATTTATTTATTTTTAAGATTTAATCTTTTTTAAGATTAATTATATATATTTTTTTACAATATACAGACAAAAGTGCATATAATTAATCTTTAATTACATATAATTACAAAAAAAAAATTTCATATAATAATTTACAAAAATTAACATAATTATATGAAATTGTTGTTTATTTATGTTAATAACTTAATATAATTATGTTAAATTTACATCAATATAATTATTTTTATGTATATTAAAATTATTTTTAAATTATGTGGAAGTGTTTTCTAATAATTTAATTTGATGTAATATTATACAAATATCTATATTATAATAATGCTATATTAATGTTAGAACATCTCAATATTCACATATTGATGAAAAAAAATAAAAGTTAATAATGTAGTACCTCCTTTCTTATTGGATTCATAAAAACAACATTTGTAAAGATTTTTAATATTTTTTTTGGATTTTTTTTAATTGTTTAAACCGACCGGTTCAACCAATTTTCGATCCAAACCGTCGATTCACCGATTCAGATGAGTTTTTTGGGTACACGATCTGGGGACCGATCCGTTTTTTAAACCACCTGATAGTTGAATCTCGACTATTTATTTTTAAAAAATTTACGCACATATCCGTTATAGTTTTCGCTATTATAAAACTGTCGAATAGTTTCCGTTATTACTTTTCTATCCGCTTTTTCATGAATTCAATGTATTCTTTGCTGTTGAACGATTGAAAAATGTCCGTTTCTTCATGAATTCAATGTATTCTACGTTGTTGAAACGAAAAATGATAACTTAGATTCTTCAACATCTGAAAATTCACAATTTTATGTTGTTGAAAAACCAAAAAATTACAAGGGAAGGCTTTTCGGTTGTTAATTTCCGGTTATCCGGTAGAACTTATTTGCTGCAAAGGAAGACGAAGGCTTTCTTCTGAGTGAGCTCTGTGGGATTTTTGACACTGCGAGGAGAGGGAGGGACTGTTTTTGGGGTTTCAGAGTTTGTTTCTCTCTCTACAATGGAGGGTACTTGGCTCTTTCATGTTATGTTTCGTGTGTGCATGAAAACTGAACTAACTCCTCTCTGGAACTGAACTGATATGTCTCCACCTCTTGGCCATGTCGAGGAGGGGTTGGGAAAAAAGGGTTCCCCCTCTCATATCGTCAGAGTCTTCAGAAAATCTAAAAGAGATAAAAAAGACTCCTTAAACCTAAAAGAGACAGATTTAAGGCTTGGGCTTCCTGGTTCGAGGACTCCTGTTAGAGATCCAGAGCTTTGTCTCTTACCCCCTTTGAAATTAGACGAGAAGTCCCTCTTCCCTTTGGCCCCATCGAAAGAGAACACTTCAGAGGAGAATGGGAGGAATGGCATCTTTTCTGGTAACAAAAGAGGTTTTTTCTGGTAACAAAAGGTGCGGTTTTTTCAGAGGGGTTGTCTATGCTGTTGCTGTTAAGCAAGGGTCTGCTACCTGGCATACAGGAGGCCTGGACCATCGGGCCTCTGGTATTGTGCCCTCTAGGCTTCCTCTTTCTGAAACACCCGTTAAGCCAGTACCATTGAAGGATCAATCGCTGATGCTTAAGGAGGTTGCTCCTCCAGAGACGTTTCAGGATAGGGTCCGTGAATTATTACGTCGTTGCTCGTCTGAAAATTTTCGGTTTTTCAACAACAAAAAAATGATAAATTTTTTGTTGTTGAAGGATCGAAATTGTTTTATTTTGAATTCGATTGATCAATAAACGAAAATACATTGAATTTGGTTGATCAACAATCGAAAAAGAGTAAAGTTGTTTTTTTAAATTTTTTGTTTTGACATATAAAAAAATCGACAGATATGTAATAACGGAAGCTATTCAATAGTTTTGTAATATCGGAAATTATAACATATATGTACGTAATTTTACCTTCATTTTATATAGACATTAAAACACGAGAAGTTTGGAGATTAAAATTGATCGCAGGCATCAAAATCGATTGGAGGTAATGTGTTTTTGACCATCATCAAGATCAATGTTTTTTTTTTAATTAATTGGAGTTGGCTGTATGAATTCATGATCCGTCATTTTATTCTAATAAAGCCCATATCATCAATGAGACTATAAGTCTCCATGTATTTTTTCACTACTTTTAACCATATCTTTTGGGGCCTATTTTTGCATTTTTTTAGCCTTCAACTTGAACTAACTCACACTTCATAGCAAATATTGTATTGGACGTGTATAAGGGGTATGTGCCGCACATGGCTAGCCCACTTAAATCTACTTGCTCTCATCTTATCGCTTATTGGTGCTATACATAAATTATCCTAAATATATTCATTTCAAAATTTATCCCTTATTGTTTTGCCACTCATCTATCTCAACATCCTCATCTCACTTACACTCATTATATATATATATATTATATATATAAGTTCTACCCGTGTGACCACTTATAAAAAGAGGGTCATAATCAACCACGAGACTCTCCGCCTAGCCAGGCCGGCCCCACCCTAAAAAAGTAGAGCACAGCCCAGCACAATTTGTGGCCCAAGGGCTGGGCTAGGGTGCTAGCCCAATTCAGCCTAGCCCTCTTTTTTTCTTCTTTTTTCTCTTATATTTTTCATCTATTTTTGGCTTGACCCAATCTGGCGATTGCCCGGCCAGGCCAGCTCATGCCCACCCCTATGGAAATAAGGCGACGCCAGCCCGACCTGTTGCGACGAGAGACGAGAACAGCTTGCTCCTTTTTCTTTTCAGGATGTAACTGCCATTATTTATCTTATTGAGGTTAGTTTGGGTCCATATACTGCGAAAGAAAGATAAGACGCCGATATTTCCACTCCATACAAATATCAGCTTCCCCATTTCCCGCCCCCATTGCCCTTTCGCTCTCGCACTCTGAAGATTTTCTCTGCATTTTCTAGGGCAGCCTTTGCTCCCTATTGGGTTCCATTTCTAGGGTTTTTATCAAGCCTGGGAGCTAATCTGATGTTTTATGTTTCGCCATTTTGATGCTCATATTATTGGTATATTTGTAAGAGGATATAATTGTAGTGCAAGATGGGCGCTTTGAGTGCCTTCTCTATTTGCCCTTGTAGGTTCTCTTTTAACCCTAATTTTAATGGTGAAACCAGGAAATCCTTCATCTCAAATGCCATTGGAACTCCATCCGTCACAGGTTTTCCTTTTTCTTTTGTGTTTTGGTCGATTTTCTCTGCTTATGTTGTCAGTTGCATGCCACAAAGTTTTAGTTCGGATTGAAATTGAATTTTTTTGTTATTTGTGGAACCAAATATAGGCCATCCAATGTATAAATAAGAATAAATTTTGGATGAATTTTCGATGAATCAGCCTAAAGGTAGTCAACTTAAATCTCCTGACTTTGATGAAAGTCTCAGGCTAATTTGTTTCTGGTTCCATTTGCGTGTTTGCACTTTTTTTCTTAAGGGACATTTCTGAATTTCTTCAGTGCTAAACAAGTTCAAGACTGTTCATTTTTGAAGTTCACCGCAATTTCAATCCGGTTTTGGCAAAAAATAGGGTGATAATTGCTGAATCTGTATTAAAATTCGGTTGGAGTTTCAGCTGAAATTGGAAGAACGAATGACGCGCTCTTCAGCTGTTCACTTTCCCAATGGCTAAAGTGCAGTTGGAACTTCAGTTTTAGGCTTTTAGACTGTTTTCAGTTATATGAATTATTATTTAGAGCCTTTTGATTTTGATCAACTTTTCCAATTTGATACCTAAATGTTGATTTTGATCAACTGTTTTCAGTAATACGAATTAATAGGGTGATACCATTGGTTGTGTTTTTCTTTTTCAAGGCTGTCTTTTGTAAGGATGGTTACCGTTATCATCTATTTCTTATTATGTTTCTTCATTTAGAACATGTACTGGCAGTCTTAACTCACCGTATCCTTCTTTAATACTTATGTAGTAGTAGGTTTTGCTGATAGTGGGGACGATTTCATATGCTTAGATAATATGCATCCACATGATGAAATGTTGTTTGGAAAGATTTGGATGCAAATAATTTGATTGACTGAATATTCTGTTACTGAAGTTTGGTACGAAAGACTTGAAAAGGTACAGTTTTTCCTGGTTCTAATTTTTTCAAAAGAAACAGCAAAAGTTTGTGGAAGTTTGACCATGGCATTTTTGAGGTAGTTTTGAGAAATGGAAAGTTGGTTTTTATCGTCATGTTATTTTGGTATATCTGGATTTTTTTGTGAATTCTGTATCAAGTTTTCTCAAAATAATTGAAGCACAGATGACAATTTGCATGTTAATAATTTCATAAATATATCATCATCGAAAATTTTTGTTTATTTCTGGTAGTTCTTTGATTAGTACCAGTGTAGCATACCTTCTTGTTGCAGTTATAGCCTTGATTTCCGAATTCTGGGACCTTAATTCACTGGTGGAGATGCCCCACTAAATGAAAATCAAACAACAATGGCCGCTATATTTTTCTGCTTGGTACCTATCCCTAATTCTCAAGCATCACCTTTAAATATTTATATCCTTTATTAGGTGCCAAGGAATCTCGATTGCGCCAAAAAAGATCGGGGAGGCTGGAGGGTCCCAGTAAAAGTATGGAGGATTCAGTTCAAAGGAAAATGGAGGAATTTTACGAAGGATCCAGTGGCCCACCTTTGCGTGTTCTTCCTATAGGTGGTCTTGGTGAAATTGGAATGAACTGCATGCTTGTAGGGCATTATGATCGATATATTCTAGTGGATGCAGGTGTCATGTTTCCTGAGTAAGTCAGCACATACTAATGAATTTTTTGATGAATGATAATCTTCTCTTTTGGATATTAATGTATATTGTGATGAATAATAAGATATATTTTAATAATTAAATGATAATCCTCATAAGAGGAGATAAGTTGCCATCATTTCAATTAACGGCAGTCTTACACCAAAAGAATTATAACAATATAGCCATGATCTTGTAGACACTACCTACAAGGTGACAAATTGGAAATCCTTACCCCTGAATATTTGGCACTAGGGTGATAATTGGCGGGAGCATTTGTCTTCTTTAGCCACCCTATTTCTTAGCTTTCATGAAAAAAATTCATCAGATCTCTGTTTATGATGTCGTAACAATCATGGAAGGAGCTCCAAAAACCATTTAGAGCCAAGCTCTATCTCTACTTCAGGAAAATGGTGCACTTAACTTTGACATCTTACCCTCCTGGAACCCATGCTCTGATAGGCCTGCCTTACCACCTCCATTATGTTTATAGAATCAAGCTATTGAGCCTCTTCCAGTGTGCTATATAGATTAAGCCATCAGTTCTCTTTTGGCACCTTCTGCAGTTATTATCTTTTAAAGAAACCTTTAGTAATGTCCAACCACCAATCTTGATACTCGATATACAGTTGCTCCTGTCATTTAGGGATTTACAAAAAAAAGAAGCTTTTGTGACTCTTCACTTTTTTAACATTTTCACTTTGGAGTTTGGTGTATCTATGGCCTTACAAATTAAATCTTTTGTGGCATTGTGATTGTCAGAAATTATTGAAATAGCTAATCAGGTTTGTTTGCTTCTAATTGAATTTATCAAATTCAAGTTTAACCTCATGTTGTCTACCAAGTCTTTGGTCTAATGGTGAGGTCGGCGGTTTGCAGGACAAAGGTCTATGTTTGAACCTTTCTCGTGCAAACAAGCTGAATTACCAAAAGGACACTCATAAATTTTAGCCTTGTGCCGGGATGTAAATATGTTTGATATTTGTTATACTATCATGCCGATTATTGACGTCCTCAACTGATTCATTTTCTTGCTCGTCAGCTATGATGAGCTTGGTGTCCAGAAAATTATACCTGATACAACCTTCATCAAAAGGTGGAGCCACAAAATTGAAGCAGTAGTTATAACACATGGCCATGAAGATCACATCGGTGCATTGCCTTGGGTAAATTTTTCTACCTCTTCCTAACCCTAGCCAGACCATATTTTTCAAACTGTTTGTTTTTGCTTCACTTGATAGATGAATAAATTCAAGTATGGAAAATTGTATGATAAATATCAATCACTGAGAAAATTCCTCGGGGTTCCATGGGTGATATCTCTCTCCGATAACATTTCACTGAGCACTTGATGATAGCCAGGGTGGTCAACATATGTTATAAAGATATTGTTTGCTTTAGGCCTTTTAGCATCTTTTGCCCAAATGAAGGTCCTATATAACTGTTTAGATCACCCCCTTCCGCAATTCTAATAATTTCTCCATAACATGCGGGACCAGGGTTACCTTTGGCTATTTAGTGTAAAATGATTTAAATGATACACTTGGTGAGTGGCTTACGATCTGCTTGTGATTGAGGTTCAGTTTTATGCTCTTGTTGTTATTGTGATCCATGACAATTGAGGTCTTCTATTCCAATGCTTTCCAATTTATGTCTATGTGGATGCAAGATATGCAAAGTTTATTTCTCCTGTGCTTTACATCAGGAAATGTGATTGTGTTCTTTTCCCCCAAATTTGTCCAACATGAAAATTTTCCTTTCGTATTCCACCTCATGCCTTTCGAGACCAGTAAAACACAAGATTCTCAAGCATATACTGAAGTCATAGTTTTTTGTTTATATTATCATGAACGTGTGGGGAATTGTGAATTGTTAAGTGTTTGTTAATGTTTTGTAGTTTTTTTATGAATGATTCTCTTATATGAATGATTTAAGAGATTAAAATGCATATCTAGATGATAAATATTTAGGAATAAGGTTATATTCTTTTACATTTTTTATTTTTTTTATCGAATCTCATTTCTTATCTACAATTTTGGTTTATCAAAATAAAAATTTAAGTTCTTTCCTGAGGTGGCTAACCAAAACAAGATCCAAAGTTAATTACATTGGTATGTATTGGTTGATAATAGAGTGAAGGAACTATTTTCATTGGTTTCTTTGGTCTTGATGGATTTGTATATGAAGGATGTACTTGAGTGTATACTGCATTTCAGAAGGCTTTTTGTAGCATTCCATGAGTTTATTTTCAGGGTTTTATGCTTTATGAGAAGGTTTTACAAGTGGAACACCATTTTGCTTTTTGCTTAAAAAAAAAAATCACCTTAGTTTGTTGTAGTTATTAGCAATATTTCTCTTTGTTTTTTCTTTTCTTTTTTGCTATGGATTAATTTGGTTTTAGATCCGTTTATTTAGAAGTATGTGTTCAGTTTCATAGTTTTAAGATCCACGCTAAGTTTGGCTCTTTAACCAGGTTATCCCTGCTTTGGATTCCCACACTCCCATATTTGCTTCTTCCTTCACGATGGAGGTAAGGTCTCGCACTTATATATATATATATATATATATATATATATATATATACTACT